GTAGATCACACCCTGGATCTGGCTTGAAACACTAAGGTGACACCGGATGGAGAAGAAACTAGTTGAAAAGAGTGGCGTGTGCAGTGACGTGCGTCGGAAAAAAAAATGTTAAAGGCAGTAGTACGTGGGGCGCATGGTAGTTTTGATGGCAATACTATTCTAGCAGGTTGCTGATTGAATAGCAATACTCCGGATCAAAACACGGTGATGGGGTGCGTGACAAAAAGGACAGCCTGAAGATATTTCTTTGGGACGATAGTCACGTCAATAGTGAAAAAAAAAATTTAGACTAGTAGGGTTTCAAAATCAGGGTCTGATACCATGTTAAAAGGAGCCTTAGAAACCCTAAAATGTGGAATGAGTCAATGATCCAACGCTGTCTTCTGAATTTGTATTTATAGTACTGGGGAATGTATAAATAAGGAATGAGAATATACAAATCAGGAAGAAAAATAAATGAAAATAAATGAGAATATTCCTAGCGATGTACTCATATCATATATTCCTAATCTACATATATACATATTTCTACTAGTGTGAAAGAAAAGAATGATAGTGATTGTTATATGAAAGTTTGTAGTACCATATATGAAAAGTCTATGATAGTCAGTTACTAATCTAGCTAGCAATGCTGTTCAAAACCACAGAAGCAATTATGGTTGAATTGGTATTGTTGGAGTAATATGTTCGTACCTATTTATAGGAAGCTTTATGTGGGATGTCCAGCAAATGGACAAGCAGATGAGGGATATATTTTCGAATTCAAAACTGACACTAATTGGGACTGAGGGTTCTGCATATATTTATTTATTTATTTTGCAAAGGTAGGGGCAGCTGTCAATTTAGGCAATTTAGAGTTTTATTTTGTGTATTTTTAATATGAGACGGAATTTCGTTGTTTAATTTATTTATTTCTCAGAACAGCTTGTCAATATTAATGGGTGCTTATATTCTTTTGGGTTTTTGACATAGTTTTGGATAAACTGAAAATTCTTTCCTTCTCTCGAGGCAGTGACTTTTCTTTCTTGTTGTTCTCCTTGTTTCTTTCTCTTCTCTTCTTCCTCTTCCCTATTACTATAAAATCCCACACAAAATCTAGCCCTATGCTGAGAACATTTTTCTCATTTACTATAGTTGAAGCAGCAATATAAACCACTAAGTATGAATTTATGGATTGTTAACCTGTGCCTTATTTCTTTTCATTTTATTATCTTTTTGTATATCAATAATAAATTTTTACATTGGGTTACAGTCCATCATATACCTATACAAAGCTAATGCAACTGAGTTTGAAAAATCATGCTAAACAGCACTGGACTTTGTAGTTTGTACTCATGAAAAATCCTGTTGATTCCTCATGGTTCTATGCAATCAGCAAGATAGAAGCTACAAGGGTTGCTCGTTGTCACTTATGTATCACGGTTTGAATTATTAGAAACAAGAAACTATTTTGCATGCAGGATAAAACTGCATAAATTTAACTTCCCCCCTTGAGGGAGCCTTGTATATTGGGCTGTCCCTTTTTAGTTGTAAAATTCTTCCTACTGTGAAACATTAATGAATTAATATTCCCCAAATTTAATAAAATCAATTAACAAGAGTGGTATTCTGCAGTCACAAGACGTTGCGAGAGATTTTGGAGCTGTTTGCACGCCAGACTTTTTGCTATTCAAAAAGGTAATGACCTGTACATAATGTTCTAGAAATTTTATCCCTCTTTTTAGATATCTTAAAATCTCATTTTGATAGTCATTGTGAAGTTTCTATTGTCTCTTCTGCTTCTAATTTTGCATTTTCCAACTTGCTAAATCGTATAATTTCGTATAACAGGATGGTCGAAGACCCTTTGAGTTGGTGTATCATGGTCAATTTGATGATTCACGACCAAGTAATAATGTCCCAGTCACAGGAAGGTTAATTGTGATTCTTGGTTTCCTTTTCTACACAAATATTTCATTCTTACTTTCAATTTTTATTCTTTTTAGTGATATCTTTGTAGCTATTGAAATTTACTGTTACTTCAGGGATTTAAGTGTTGCGATAGACCGTGTGCTCGGTGGCCAACCATTGCCAGATGTTCAAAAACCCAGGTATGCCAATGCATATTTGATTTCCCTTTGTTTACAATTATTCCTCCATGTAATGCTCTATTTCATGTATCATTATGAGCTGAGATAATATTCTCCACTTGTTATAGTGTTGGATGTAGCATAAAGTGGCATCCAGAAACAAAGTCATAGTTGCAGGGTCGTAATCTACGATGCTTCTGGTGCATCATATTTCACTTCAAGTGGGTGGTTGTTGGTGCGATATGCCACTATAATTTGTATGTTCTCATGCTATTGTTTTGTTCTCTTGCAGTATTATTCTGTTGTCATATTGCTTGACTCCTTTGAGTATGGACGCAAGAGTTTTTTCCTTTTCCTTTTAAAGGTGTAAAATATCTATGACATGTATAATGGGTTAACTTTCCTGCATTCTTCTTCAGCATAAAAAGCTAGTAATAATTTTTTTTTTTTAAAAAAAGAAATTCTACCTCTTTGCCTTTTCTTGTACACATTTGTGTGCTTGTATGTTGTTTGGTTGGTTCTTTATTGCTTAATTGTGCACCCATATATTTATTACATTTTTGATGAAAGGATTTTGTATATTGTACATATGACATAAATGGCGGAGGTTAAAGTGCAAACTCTCTCTCTCGGGTTGGGGGGTGGATGGGGTGTGGTTTGGTGGGAGGTGGGGTGAGGTAGTGAGTGTTGATTAACCCCTACTCTCTTCGGCATTTGTAATACAGATTTGGTATTCTTAAGAGAATGAGTGTGTGTGTGTGTGTCACCGGGGAAAATGAAATTCTGTCAAATTTAATCATCATTCTAGTCCCAAGCTACAGACAAACATTTAGATTTCAGGAATGGAATAAAATCTGTTCCCCTGTCAGACTATACCTCCAGCACTGCGCACTGCAAAATGAAGGAAAGCGAAAAATTACGTTGCATTTGACCGAACCCTTACATTTTCTAATTTTAACATGCTATAGACTGGGCAATAATTTCTATTCCTATTCTTTCGTGTGTCTCTGTTTCCCCCGTGTGCTTGTTGCGTTTAATTTGCTGTTAAATAACCAATTGAACAGTGAATGGCTTTATGTAACAATTCTACATATGAGGGCACCAGCTTACCCAACCATGCGGACACTACTTGTGAGGTACTATGACAATCTGGATGGTCTTTAAGTTTGTCATAGGTTGTTTCTTCTTACTATTTGCAACATTGGATAAAATTTGACCTTTAAATATCTGAGACACCATAACCTCTTTTGGATAAAAATCTATTACTATAGATGTTACCTGGCTTGAAGGATTGGACGTTCCTTTCCAATCATTTGAGGGAGCTTCTCCATTGTAAAATGGTGGCAGTCTTTACTCCTCGGAGATTAGTTAGTTAACTTTTTCTTTCTTTTTACGTTTCAGCTCCTATTGTTAGTAAAATTAGAAAATTCTTAAATTACTTGTCAGGATTCTGACTTAAAATGATTGTCCTAGTCTATTAGTGTTTTATAGGTTTTGCCAACTGAACCAGAAAGGAGTGTACCTAAACAATTGTTATGATGTGAGCAATGATAATTATTAGAGCAGAAGCAATGGCTTAACTAGATAAGCTTACAGATAGTTCTCAATAATAAATGGTGAAAGGAACCTGAGTAGCGATGGGGTTGGGGCTAAATGAAAGTTTTTGATTTGTTACGTGTAAGATGCATATTTTTCTTGCATGGGAAGTGTCGAGCAAAAAAAGAGAGAAGAAAAGGAAAGGGAAAAGGTTGTGTGTATGGTTGCTTGCATTCTTGGCCATTAAGTTATGATAGGGTTGCGTAAACTTCCTATGGGACCTAACTTGGATTGATATTATATGACTAAAAGCAATGTATCTTTCAAGAAAATGGGGCATGATCTCTCTTTATCTTCACTGAAAGAGATGTTGGGGGAAAATTGCTGTGGGGAGTGGTAGGGGTCCATTCATTGCTTTTTCCCATTATTGAATCTTCCATGTGGCTAATGCCAACCAAGAATTTTTGTCACCACATTTAACTCTTTTTTGTTTTAAATTTTTTATGAGCCTCCATATCACCACATCCTACCAACAGTGCTGCAATTTTGTTTGTCTGTTTTCTCTAGAGGCCATGCTGTTTGATAACTTCGATTTCCATTGGAGTCATGTCGATTGATTCCCCAGTGTTGTAGCACTCACTATTCCTTTCTACTTCACGTGAATGGATGTAATTCTTCATATTTGTTTCGGGCTTTTTAGTTGTTGTTTTTACTTCTTGTTTTTAGTTGTGGGTGCGCTTCGATGGGAATTCTACTTTTTGCACTGAAGAACTGTTCGGATGGGTGAAGTTTTCAGCAATCGACAAGTGAATCTGGCTTAGGAAAATGTCCTGTTTGGATTTCGTTTCTCAAAACAGAAAACTCAGTTGAAATGTTGTTTCCAAAAACTGCTTCCAGGAGAATTTTCAGAAAATAGGGTCCCCTTTTAGAAAATAACAAAAAGTTGTTTCAGGATTTTCTGTAACTATTTTACAACAGAATATTCGAGACTTCCAAGGTTTTCCGGTTTTTAAACCATGGAAAACAAAAACTGTTAAAACGGAAAACAAAAAGCAGACGGTTTCAGGAGTTTTAAGCTTGCTAGGACAGAGATTGGACAGTGACTATCCGTTGCAATTTGAACTCCGGATAGGCAACGTGCAATTTCTTGTTTCCTGCATTGAAATGAGATTTAACCCTTTGCTTTGCCATTCATGAAGAAGTTGCATGTTCAAAAATTTAGGTCAACCAAATGAAGCGAATTGGAATATTAATAAATATGAATCTATTTTACAAATTTGCTGCATTCAGCTATGTAATTTATTTTTCTACTTGAAGAAGAAATATAAAAAGAAAAAATAGCTAGCCCATTCATGAGAATGCAAAGTGACTATGACAAATGGGAAGGTGAGCTAATCAGGGGTTCGGATGATCCAGAGAAACTTGAACACGAACTGCTGCTTCCGCTGCTGATTGTGAATTTGCTTCTAACCACTCACCGATAGAGTTTGGCTTCTCAAAACAATCTTCATTTTCTTGCCTGATCTCTCTAAGCATTGCTACAACATCTTTCATCGTGGGTCTCTCCTCCGGGCTAGGGTTCACGCAGAGCAAAGCCACCCCTAGTACCTGAACCATCTCTTGGCTCTGTGTCCAGACCGATGAAGCAGTTGCTGATCAAGAATTGATGTGAATTCTGCGCGCTTCACTCTCAGTTCCTGGTTCACCCAACTAACAATATGGGCTCCTTCGGGAATCCGGCAGTCTGTCGGTTCCATACCAGTTAGGACCTCCAGGAGCACAATGCCATAGCTATAAACATCACTCTTCTCTGTAATCCTCAAGCTGTACCCATTTTCTGCAAATTGAAACAGGCAGTTTTAAACACTCGAAACTAGAAAACAGTTTAAAGCATTTAGAAAAGGGTGTTCAGAATTTAGTGACGACGATGGAATTGGATATCTTGAAGTATTTCGACAATACTTACGTAGATATTTCAAATACATGCACATAGGATTATATCCTTACTAAAATTCGAGAATGTTGAAGAATATGCAGAAACTAATTTTTGGGCCCGGTTGGGTTGACAGCTTTAACAAAACCCATTTGGCAGTGTGTTTTCAGAAACTGTTTTCAGAATACAAGCCCATCTGAGAAAAGCAGTAGTATTGGTTTTAGAATTCATAAAAAAACTATTTGTGCTCAAAAATAAAAATATTATGAAAACAACAGAGGTTTCAACTTCCGTGTTGTCTGTTTTCACAAACACAGAAAACACAAACTGAAAACGAAAAGCAAATAAATATAATACAAATCCAAATAGACAACTTGAATTATGGAAATAATAACAACAATAATGCTCACCAGGAGCTATGTACCCATAAGAACCAGCAACTGTGTTAGAAACTCCTGAACACTCTGAGGAGTTAACAAGCTTTGCGAGTCCAAAGTCTGCAAGAAAAGCCTCATGCTGTGATCCCACCAAGATGTTATTTGCCTTGATGTCACGATGAACGATGGGAGGAATGCAATCATGGTGGAGATAAGCCAATCCATGAGCAGCTCCCAGTATGATCTTGTATCTTGCGTCCCAGTTCAAGAACACCTTCTTCTCGTGTAGAAGCCTTGCCAAACTCCCATTGCTAATGAAATCGAACAAGAGTAACCTGGTTTCTCCATTTTTACAACAACCTAGAAGCCTCACTATGTTTCTGTGCCTTATGGATCCCAGTGTCGTAATTTCTGCAGAGAAAAAGTCTCTCTCTGGGAAGTCGCCATTCTTTGTTGGCCATAGCTTCTTCACTGCGATCACTTGCTGAGTCGAAGTCTCAACACGGTAGACCACTCCTGAACCACCTTTTCCAACTATGTTAGAGTCCATCAGCTTTGCTACAATATCGTCCATGGAGAAGTTCAGTTTCTGGAAGAGCGTGATCTCCCACCCTAGATTGTCTTCTCCATCACTGCCCATACTCCCACGAGCTCTGATTAGAAAAATCATTCCAATGCTGACAATGATAATTGTTCCAGCTATGCACATTACAGCCCACATTGCTATATCTTTATTCAATTTTTTGTTGTGCAGGTGTGTGTTCAGCTCACACTTGCTACTATTGATGCAGAGCTCTTCATTACCGTGAAAGCAGTGGCTGGGAGATCCTGAAAAAGCTTGGTGTTGGGAAGAGAACCAGAGAAGTTATTGTACGAGACATTGAGGGATGCTAGATTGTCCAGATTACCCAGAACTCCAAGGCCTCCAGTTAATGAATTGTGGGACAGATCCAAGTTTGCAAGCTTTGAAAGGCTTGAAAAGCTTTCCGGGACTGGTCCTCTCAGAGAGTTCCAACTCAGATTAAGCAGGTTATCTAATTCTTGTAAATGACCAATCTCATCTGGGATTAATCCGCTAATTCTGTTGTTACTCAAATCCAGTAACTGCAAATCCTTGCAGAGGCCAAGCGATTGGGGAATGAAGCCACCGAAGTTGTTTCTGCTCAATACAAGTTTGTTTAAAGACTTGAGTTTTCCCATATTCTGAGGAATGACACCTGATATTCTATTTACGGAGAGGTCTAAAACATTAAGTTCAATAAGAAATTCGAAGGAAGTTGGTAGTTTTCCTTGGAGATTATTTCCATGTAGATCAATCAATTGCAGCTGAGTGCAGTTGCCAATTTCTGTGGGGATTTCCCTCTAAATTGATTTTCTGACAATTCGAGAAAGCTCAACTTCTGTAACAGCCCAATTTCACCAGGGACTTGACCTGATAACATGTTGCATCCTAGGCGTAAACGGGTCAACCCAGTGCAATTGCCAATTGTGGCCGGAATGTCTCCGGAAAGTTCATTTGATATCAACAGCAGTTCAGTTAAGTTGCTGATATTGAACAGGGATTTTGGAACTGACCCAGTGAGAAAATTATGGGAAAGATCTAGTCCTTGAAGTTTCTTGCAGTTGCTAAGATCTGGAATGCTTCCATGAAGCTGGTTCTGCCAAGCAAAGAACATTGACAGCTCTTTCAGTTCTCCTATGGCCGGTGGAATCTCCCCAGAGACTCTGTTGTTGTCCAATATAAGCTGCCTCAAGTTGGAAAAGTTTCCAATGAAAGATGGAATTTTGCCAGAAATGTTGTTTTCAGAAAGAAGCAGCTCTTCCAACAACGTTAATTTTGCCAGAGACTGAGGAATCTCCCCAGTCAGAGAATTGAGCGAGAAATCAATCACTGTCAAGCCTGAACAGTTCCCAAGAGTCGCTGGAATTTTGCCAGTTAGTTTATTTTGCCAGAGCAACAATTTTTTGAGGCTTTTTAGCAGGCCAAGTTCCCCGGGAATCTCTCCTGAGATTTGGTTTCCGTACACAAAAAGGTTCTCCAAGACTGAGCAATTGCCAATTTCAGGTGGAATTTTTCCTGTGAGATTGGCTGTGTAGGCTGAAAGAGTCTGGAGCTTCTTCAAATCTCCCAAGCTATGTGGAATCTGCCCTGAAATTCCGGTATCTGCTATCCCCAGAAAAACGAGCTCTCTGCATTTTGATATCTGCATGGGGATTTCTCCCCGAATTCCCAGGTTCCCACCTGCCCGAAAGATTTTCAAATCCCATAAGTTTCCTATTTCAGCAGGAATTCTCCCAGAGAGAAGATTATCAAACAGTTGAATCTGTTGAAGCCTTGAGCAGTTTCCTATTTCTGGTGGAATTACACCCTCCAAGGAATTAGAACTCAGTGACAGCAGCCACAACTCTGATAATTTTCCAATTTCCTGCGGTATTCTCCCTGTTAGAGCATTGAAGCTCAAGTCCAAGATCATCAATGAAGACAAATTTCCTATGGAAGTTGGGATTTCTCCCGTGAGGTTTGAATTTGAGAGGACAAGGGTGGTGAGGAATTTGAAAGAGAGTAGTTGGGATGGAAAAGCTGTGCCAAGATTGATGGAGGTAATGGTGATCTCTGAAACAAAGCCATTTCTGTTGCATTTGATGTAGTCCCATTGACATGGGGTCTCCTGGGTTGTTGTGTTCTTCCATGAAGAGAAGAAAGAAGAAGAAGATGAACTGAAGGTTGAAAGCCAGGAGAGGAGAGAGAGGCCTTCTTGGTTTAGAGGAGAGATGGAGGGTAGGAGAGAGACGTAGAAGAGCAAGAGCGATATTTTTGTGATGGCATTGCTTGACATGATGATGATGATGATGAGTGTTTGTAGTAGTCTGATTCTACTGTTCTGTCTCCACGGGTTTTAGCAAAATAATGTCGCCCAAAAGTTGTCTAAAATGTTATCTTTATGATGGGAAACCCGGATGATGATAGTGCCCCTGGTTTCTTCCCGAATCACACCCCCACCCCCACCCCCCCCCCCCCCAAAAAAAAAAAAAAGGAAAAGAAAAGAAAAGAGGATATGAAATTGTGAATTTTAGACCTATTTTCTGATACTTGATGAATAAATTGCCTAGGTTATGAGTGAGAAAGAGATTCTCTGAGAGGGATAATGAAGTGACAAGAACTGGACAGTAAGATATTTGGTGGAATGCTGGTTCTTGAAATGTATTGAGAGGCAACAAGGTGTCTTATGTTTGTACAATACTCTGCCAAAAATCACTGTTACCCCCTTTCTTTTTCTTATTATTGTAGTTTTTCTGTCTTCTTTTTCTTTTTCTGTCACGTTATGTTGAGCCTTAAACCACTTATTCCTGTAGTATGTAATCAAGGGTACAAGGCATAAATCTTATTTTTGACCAGAAAAAGAATAGATTTTAGACTTGGAGTTTGATTGGAATAGGAATTTGAATTAAAATAAAAATTTTATGGGTTTCTAATCTAAATTTCATTTTAGTGTTTGGTAAAAAAATAAATTTGATATTTACAAATTTCTATCTAGTGTTTAGAAAGAAATATGACTTGGAATTAAAAATAAGATTTTTATTATTATACCTTTTAATTATTTTAATAAATTATGGAAAATTGTTCAACTATTTTATTAAAAAATTAAAATTACAATTTTCTAACAAAATTTCCATTTATAAATAAAAATAATAAAATTTACAATAGTCACAAAATTATAAAATTTGAAACACTTTGCAAAAATTCAGCCACCATACTATAACAAATATGTATAAATGAAGGAAAAAAATATTATGATAGACTTATTACAATGTGTTCATCATTAGAATTTATTTAAGTTAAATATTTTTTTGTGTGTTGATATAAAAAGACCAAATTTTTGTTTTCCAAAAAAAATTAATTTTTAAAAAAATTAAAATAAATTTATTTTGAAAAAAATTCTCAAAATGATGACCAAATTTTCAAAAAAAGTTCTAATTTGTAGACAAAAAATTGATTTACTTTTTCTCGTCAAACTAAACGTTCTAATTTCGAAACTTAACACGTTAAATAAAACGCATGAAATTTCATAGAATTTAAATTTTATTTTTTAATTTCTTTATCCAAATAATTAAAATAGAATTTTCAAATATAAATTTCACTAAAATCTATAAAATTCTACCTTGCCGGACAGTAGGTAAAAGATTCTACTACGGATTGAATGAAGTAGCAATACTGAAAGAAATTCCTTAGCCTAGCAAAAGAACTCCCTTCTATTATCTAGTTATGCAAATACTATCAGATAAATTTTGTTTTCTTGATCAAGTGGGTACTTGCTGCTGTACCGTATGTGCAAAGGTTGTATTATACAAGGTACTGTTTGTTAGGGGGCTAAGTGTGGACAGGAATTGACTAATTATCCCTTTGGAAAGGAAAAAGGAATAGGACACTTATCTTGGCATTTGGGAGGTTGGGGACAGGAGCAAAAGGGGGAAATAATAATCTACCAAACGGGGAAATAAAGTTCTCCCACCCTCTCTTCTAGAACCATTGTTTTTCGAGCTCCTTATTATCATCCCATGTGAAAAATTCATATTTTGTTGGTTTTCAATCCCTTTCTTTTACCCTTTATTTTATGCTGATAAATAATTTTATCCAATCCAATTTTTGTCCTTATATTTCATGTGATATATAACTATTTTTTTAATTATTTAATTATTTCTTATCCAATTTGACTCACCAAACACCCACTAAATACTTCTATATACGTTAATAAATTCATATTTTTTGAAATCAACTTAAATGTTTTCCGGATGATATGTTGTTGTTCTCTAGTTGGAAGCACAGCATTCGACGGCTGTAACAGTAAAGGTCTCCATCATAAAAAAACATACCCATTAGTAATATGATTTGTGATGTCTGTTACACACACACACATGATTTGTGATGTCATGAAAGCGTTGTCGTCCCGTCCCACCAAAACCATAGCAGCAACCTTCCAAGCTACAGCCTGTCATGAAATTGATGATGTTGAAATTTCTCGTATTTTAGTATGTGCAATAGTAGAGACTTCCATCCGTTTTGTAAATCAAAATCGTATGTCTTTCTTACGGGTATGTTACATTCATTTTCTAGGTTTTTTTTTTATATAAATTTTTTAAAATTTTACAAAAGATATATATATTTAAAATGATTCAATTTAGTAATGAATAAATGGTCCAAGTTTAATCCAATGAATTTCTCCAATCTCCTTTTTAGGATTGAAAATAAGTTGAGTTAACTCACGAGCAACTTATAATTTGATTAAATAATTAGTTTTACAAGTTATTAATTGATGAACCAAATGAGGGATAAATAAATCAAATTTTTTGGCTCACATAAGATATTAGCCAAGTTTGAGTTAAAAGATTCGTTTGGTTCATGAAATAATTCAATATATATATATATATATATATATATAACATGATCATATTATATATAGTATTTACATATTTAGCAATTATTGACGGAATTGTGTAGGATGCGTGTACTAAATCAAAGAGAGATCTCAAATTCTGCTTTACTTGGATTCTTTTACTGTAGAATTTAGACTACTTTTAATTTTTAATATTCTTTATGATGACTGATAAGAAGATGTATAATAGTTTATTTTATTATTATTGTAAATTATAGATAAAAATATTATGAAATTATAATTACAATTAACTATTTATTAGTAATTTCTCAAATGGAATATCTAAATTATTATTTTTTATTTTTTAATTTCTCTGGGTTAATGAGGTGAGCCAATTTGAGCTCAAAAAACTAGTTTACTAAAAAATGTACTGAACTACATTTAAATGAGTTAAGCATAAGTGGAGATTAACTTAACTCGATTTGACTCATTTTCATCCCTATTTCTTTCTCATTTAGGTTTTGGTACAATGACTCGTTGCTTTGTCTTCCATGAAAAGATAAAGAGGGTTGATTCTGCTGAAAGAAATTTTCTTGGGCATTAACCGTAATACTTTGTTTGGCAAATGTTAATGCGAAACATCTGTCATTGGCAAAAATAAAATCCTTTCAAGTTAGGAATTCTAATAAAAGATTTCCCTCGGTTTGTTGTGCATTTAGGTCATCACAGATTTACAACATCAAGAAACCTCCTCTAGGGGAACAATGAATGGAAGGTCATTAGTCAGTTGAGTGAGAACACTAAGCAAATAATTAGAGGCGCTAAGTTAAGATATGAAGTAGTGATGATGGCCTTGTCAAGAAGGTACGATTAAGCAAAATGATTACAAAGAAAAGGAATTTGCACCCGCAGGTACCTTGCAAAGGAAGGTTCCATAAAATGAGTGATTTGATGATGGAAAAGAGTTGGAGTGGTGCATGCATGTGGCCGGAGGGTCCAAAGGTTCTGTGATTTTCAATAAGTTAACGGATTGGATTTGTATCAAATCAAGTGTATTTAAATTTTAATTTGATTAATTATTTCTATATTTATATTTGATTTAAAAACTTATAAAATTTTTAATTATTAAATGATATCCAAATTTGATGAATAATCTGAAATTTAATAAAAAAAGATTCAATTCTATAAACAAATAGTACTTTTTACATTTAAATTTATCAACTCTATTTCATGAATCATATTGATTCTTAAATTTATTGATTTTCTTATTTTAATTCATACAACTTTGAATTTATTTAAATTATATATATAAGATTATTAATTTAATTAAACATATTATTAAATTCGGATTCTGATTTTAACAGATTAAATTTCTTAATTTTTTATCTAATTCACTTATTTTACATTATGGATATTTAGATCAGATCTGACTCATCGAATATTTTAATTAGATTTGAATGCAAAATTTTATATTAGAAAATTCAACCCATTTAGAGCTCTAGTTTCCAACTCTTGTCTCATGTTGGGATTTCAAGTGGTAAGATAATTTTAAAAAATAAAATAAAATAAAATTTTGACATTAGTTATTGGATTGGATAGTCTAAATAAGTTAATATAATCTAAAAATTCAGTATTTCAAAATGCTTTAATCAATTTAAAGTTTAATTTTTCAAAAACATAATATCAAGTGAAAAGATTTTTAAAATAAAGAAAGGAAACAAGTCCCTGTTACTTAAGCATTGAAAGCAATGTTTTAAAAATTAGATTAAACCAATCGATTCAACCGGTTGAATCAAGAATTGGCAGGCTCTTTGAGCCGATTAGATAAAAAAACCATTTAAAATTTGAATTAGCGAGAGCATGTCAAAACCAATTAAAAATCAGAAAAATCAGTTCACTGATTTGACCAATTTTTACTTTTCTTCTCTTTTTTTTCTCTTTCTTTCTGGAATCTTTTGAAATTATCCAATAGAAACTAGACGTTTTGCAACCAGGGCTTCTGCAGCAGCTGGAAAGTTCGCGAAGGGCGGGAATGTTTGGCGAGCTCACCTACTTGGGCACATCAGACTTGGTGTCAAAACTACACACAGCCTTGAGCTGCTTGGAACATGTAGTGTTGCCAGAGTTCACTAAGACTACTGATTGGAAGAGTAAAGGGGGAACAAGAAGTTGGGAAGAGAGAAGAAGTGAAAATCTATACTAACAGCACCTTGGTGACACGAAACCAGAGAGAGAAAGGAAAAATAAAAAGAAAAAAGAAGAAAGCAAGAGAAAAAATCGAGAAGGTTAAACCCAAGAGAGGGAAAAAAAAAGTTAAATGCCACTTGGTTTTCTTTGATTTACAGTTAGATGCAAATTGTAAATTAAATTTAATCCTTTTATAAAAGATATGATATAACAAAAATAGAGTGTTTATTAGAAAAAAAAATAATAAAGTAAATTATGAAAAATAAAATAGATAATTACAAAATTAAAACAATAATATTTTAAGTTGTTATAATTGATATGGT